TTAGCAATGCATTGAACCAAACCTGTTGTCGCGTATACTGACCTGTAGCTTTGAAGCCGTGGTTTGGATTGCAGTCGCACCATCGCTTCGAAAACGCGACCAGAATGCGATCTACTTGTTGGGTTTCGGCGCGCAAGATGAGACGGCTGCACACCTTTCGCAGGGCGGTAACAACACTTAGATCCGAAAAGTCGTAGAGGTCGATATATGCCTGCAGGGTTCGTTGACGAATAGGACCCTCTTCACCCATCCACGACGCCGCCTTCTCCTTGGGGATGAAATCCTCAACTCCATCGTATATCTGCTGGGCCTTTTGTCGCTCATCCTCGGTTGGATCTCCCATAACAAACTCCGGTTCATCTAGTATCATTGTCTTCATTAGGTCGAGTGATTCCAAAATCTTGGGGCTGGGCAGGTTCGCACCTTCAATGCGCACGCTTGGCGGCGCACTCGGCGCGGTTTTGTAATCAGTCTCTGTGGAGCCCGACGCAAAACTTGTCGACCTGTTGCCCGGAATCGCAAGCTTCAGGTGCAGTGGATCATCAAGATCCATCTCACCATGATCCATTTTATAAGTATGCTTCTTGCTCGGACGAATTGTCGTGTTATGTTCCTTGCTCCGTCCAGAAACGGGGGATGATCCAACGCCAGTACCGTTCTCTCTGTTGTTATCCATAAACTGCCGCCTCAATTGACGTGGTGAATCATCTTCACCATCACTACCATTGTCAAGATCCAGAAATGAGTTACTCCTTTTTTCAAAAGCCTTGTTCGGCCGTCGAGGACGTTGCAGGGTTGGACTTTCAGCGGTCCAGTTCTGGTCATGGTCCGAGTCAGATGTGACTGCTCTAATCTTGGCATTGGGGCTTGGCTCGTAATCAGGGGAAAACTCTCTCTTGTATTCCCTGCTCTCATCGCCGTCGTCCGTGCCAGACTCGGAAATCGTGTTGGTAATATCGGCAAGGGCATAACCCCCATGTCCAGCTTCAGATCCGTCCCGGAGATATGGGCTCATTACTTTTCTTAAGCTGCTCGCGGGGCTTTTCGGGTCTGCCATATCTGCTTGCACGCTTCCGTCGATGGGTGGAACCGGAGGTACATCGGTAGGCATAGGAGGAGTGTCGTCGGCGTTGGACTTCTTGCGGCGTCTGAAAAACGACGACGGCTTCTTTTGTAACACGGGCTGAACCGAGTACGACGAGGATACGTCTCTGAAGGGCGGGGTTGCTGCGGTTCTCGTATGGCTAGGAAACTGTTGTAGAGGTGTTGAGACGTAGCGAGTTGGAGGTTGAGCTTCGGGAGCATTGTTCTTGGAGCCAAACACTCGTCGGAAGAATCCCTGCTTCTCTTTGGGTTGAGTGGGTGTCGTAGGGGACGAGCAGCCCGTCGAATCGGTTTTTGGCTTCCCATAGCTGACGCTCGGCGCCGGGGCCGAATCGAAGTCGGATACAGGCATGGCAGGCACTACTTGATGTGCGTTTGCACCTCGCTTGCTTCGTCCAGCTGCACTTCTAAGAGAACGGCTCGTGCTGCGCTTGCGTTCCAACGTAGGAAAATCGAAAGGCTCCGGCGGCGGTGGAGGAATTTGGATTGCCGACGGTACACGGCGGGGGCCACCAGGCACAGTTGGTGTTGGGGCTGCGGCGTAATAGTCGTCGTCGTTTGTGAAACCGCTCGAAAAGTCGACTCGGAATGGTGATAATAAGGGACCGTTGAGTTGCTGCTGCAACGCCTGTCGGGTGCCTTGATCGAAACTTAGAGAGCGTCTGAAACCACTGCGATTCCAGCTGCTGGGGCCAGCGGGGAAGCCTGTTGTGTCGATTTGCGTGCTGCTAATGCTACCTCTGCCACGGGAATGGAGAGCACGAGTACCTGTCGCAGTTTGGGCTAGTATCGGAAGGATCGTCTCTCTAGGGTTATCTGGTCTTGGGAATCGAAATGTTGAACTGCTATTACTTCGTCGACTTCGAGGAACCCGGGCTAATGGGGGGCTCGATTCGGCGGCGGCATCAAGATCGGAGCTGTAGGAGTGGTGATGATGGAGACTGTGGTGTCTCTGTCCTTCGTTGTCGGTGGATCTCCCGGCGGCGGCGTTGATGGCGTTGTTTAACCACGTCCTCGCAGAATCGTCGAAGCTCACTGGTGGACCGCCGTAGGATGATGTACCTGTACTGCCAGTCTGTCCCAATGAGAACTGGTCAAGGGACAGGAGCATATTATTGACGAGAGAGTCTCGGGTGACGTCGCGAGGCGACAACGAGAGGTCGTGAGAGTCCCGAGTTGGAGCTCTAGACGCGTGTTGGTCCGCCATATCGGCTTCTTCAATTGGGCGGCAAATGGCCTCTTTTCCTCTTTAGCTGCCTGCAAAAAGGAAGCATGGACGAATTGCGGGTCTACAGTCACCAGCGTTGGTAGACACTTTGACACTGGTACTTGGGTGGTGGTGGTGGTGGTGGTGACGGGCAATGCGGACGCATAGGCATACAACGCATGTAGGTGCGGTACGGTTCATTCGTCGTGCATGCAAGCGCCCGGTGGTTCTTTGTCGTCTGTCTGTCTGGTCTGGTCTGTGGATGCAACTCTAGATCTTCGTCTCGCGTTCGGTTTCTGGACTCAGTTTAAGATGAGTGGCTTGTGCTCTTCAGTAGCGGCAGCCCGGGCGTGATGCAGTGCGGGCTTTCCTGAGCCGCGAAAGCGAGACCTTGCAAGGGTCTCTCTTCTCTCCCTCTCTGTCTCTCTTTTCTCTCCTCTCTCTCAAGGGCTTGCAAGGGGGTGAGGGGGGAGGCCGTGTGGAATTGAGCGAGGTTCGGATTTCGAGCCCTGTGGTGAAAGAAGGGATACCGGGCAGCCTGTGGTTCTCGCTCAGTTGTTGCTTGCTGAGGTACAGGTAAGCTTTAGCGGTTGTTCCAGGTACTCCGTACGCTGTGGGGTTTTTTTGATGGGGCTCGATGGATCTGCTGCAGCCCCCAGTCATTTAAAAATGCACAGGGGCCCAGGGTCGAAAAGGGCCAGGGTATCAATATTAATAGTATTTTCTTGGTGGTAATTGCGTCGTCGTTCCCTTACCTTGCTCCGTGGGTTCGCAGTGAATCGTGCACATGCCCTGCTTCGCCTGAATTCCTTTTCTTTTTTTGCTTTTGCTTCTTTTGCCCTTTTGCTTTTGCCCGTTTGATCTGGTCCTGAAGCCACAGGGAATGGATTATTCTTGGGTGACTGAACAGGCATCAAGGATTCAAGGGAGAGGCAAGCGATCTTGACCTACTTGTACATACCTGTCTAGGTACATACCTATAGTACAGGTATTCTTACAGCTGGTGAGATATTTTTACTCACAGCCCTGCCCTGAGACCTGTTGGAACGACTGGATGGAGCTGGAGGGCTATTGATGAACTGACAGCCACTAACGGTGCGTCCGGGGGGAGTGTTTGCATCCCATGCCTAAGCTCTTCCATCCAATGCTTCCAATTCTTCCACTACCTACCCAGAGAGAGCCTGCAGATGAAACGCTTGGCGCAAAGCAATGCTTGAGCATCAGTGGGTTCGAGATGCAGTGGCATTGGATTCAAATGCATGTCTCAACCACAACTTAGTCCGGGTAGTAAGATGGAAGGCAAAAGTACCTGTACCTGTACCTGAATCTCTACTCTGTACATGCAAGGCAAAAGATAAAAGAGAAACATGGGAGTTTCTTCGCTTGCACCGAGACAGGAGAACTCTCGTGTTCAACATGTCTCTGTTATTCATGTCCTCCCGTTCCGTTCCGTCTGGTACTCGGCTGATTTTCTGTGGGAATGTTCATCGCGAACCGAGACGGGATTCTTTGGGGCCCCAACATTGAGGAAAAAGTAACAACAGTGGACAATGACCACACCTTGAACTGAGTTCGTGATCCAGGAAGAACCAGGGGGCGGTGAAAAAGTTCCCAAGCTTCAGGCAACGCCACAGATGGTTTTCCCTCTGAATGGTTGGCCCCCTTTTATTTTCTTTTCTTTTCTTTTCTCCTCCCTCTTCTTCTCCTCTCCCCTCCCTCCACAACCCCCCATCCTCATAGCAAGCGTTCCAAAGCTGACAAGGTTTTGGTGTCCTACTGACAGGGATGTGTTTCGGAAACGCATGCAGGGGCTCGCTTCTTGCATTCCCGCTGCTCATGCACGTGAGCGAATGACAGCTGTTTTGGTCTGGTCTACCTAGGTTCTCTTATTTACATTCCACAGCTACCCTGCAGCTATGGGGGAGCTTTATGATCAATTGACAGTCCTATATCATCTCAATTGACAAGGATTCATGTTCCTGTCTCTTGTCCATCATCATTTGAGCTCTGATGGCATCAATTGAAGCACACAAGAGCAATGCATGGAACCCATCTCCTCGATACGGCATTGCCGGTCCAAAATATCTGCCTTGACATTGTGCTAACACGACTAGTTGTAGCAAACGCAATTGCTTGAGCTAGCCTCTGCTCTAAGCCGAGCAAGAGCCCCCAATCGAGTGGTCCTTGCGCCCAATTTTTCTAGAAAACAACCATTTCTTTTGGTTTTCAGAGCTGGCTTGCTGAGGATGGACCTCGTGAGCAGTCAGCCACACCTGTAGCTCACCCTACCTACTACTTACCTACCTCTTGTGCTGTGGTGTGCTGTGGTTTGATCTAGCAAGAGCTCAAGCTAAATATCTAGTTGATTGCTTTTGTATGGTATCTCAGCCCAAACAGCCACTGTTCGAGGAAGCGATGAATTCAATTGGTCAACTTACGACGTACTGACTGTTCTTCCGCGAACGAGTTCTTGACACAATATACAAGTAGATCTGAGTATAAACTCGCCTACAGGGTATTGTTTCTTAGTGAGTAAGTGAGTAAGTGAGTGTGTATGGCTTATCGGGACGTTGGCCCGTTCAGTCCCACACAAACTCCACGAAGCCCCAAAACGGGCAACCCACAAGCGAAACCTGAAAATACCTCAATATCACGTCCACCCTCAACAAATCGGAGTCAAAGAACTCTGGGGCGCATGGTCTAGTGGTATGATTTTCCCTTAGCATCTTTCAACCAAATCACCATTTGGTTAATGAGCTTGGGAGAGGTCCGGGGTTCAATTCCCCGTGTGTCCAGTTTCCTCTTCGATTTCATTTTTTGGTCCCTTTAACGAAGGCGTTGTTCAGAGCCGGCATGATTTTTTGATGTTTCTTATACGTATGTTGTAGTAGTTACGTACGATCTAGCTTCTTCACCTGAGCAATATAATTTTACCTTGATCTGCTACAATTAATCATTTGGCGCGAATCACTGTGTTGTCATGTACGGAAAATGCATCGATATAATTCAACCTAAAAGACTTGTATGAAACCATTTTGCCCTTTCCAACACGCACCCAAACCGTAGTCCAAACCCGTCCAATCCATAAAAAGACATCCATATCCAGTTCATACAGCATAGTACAACAAAAAAGAAAAGTCATCAAGTCGTTAGTCTCAGAAAGGGAAAAGAAAAAGAAAAAGAAAGAGAAAGAAAAGAGCAGAATCAAGAAGCAGTACCCGCAATGATAGCCATCACAACCCCGTACACTCCCACACAAACCACGAAATCCATTGGGTTTCGCTTCTCAGACAGCGCAGTAAAGTGCCCCGACTGCATCATCGCCGCGGCGCCGCCGAGCCCAATCAGCAGCACGACCGTCATGCGCCCGATAAAGTCTCGAATGACGGAGAAGGAGAGCACCGGCGCCAGGACCACCCCGGCCATGGCCAGCACGAGATAGAGGAGGGGTGTCTGCGTTGGGGCTGGCGGCTGCGCCTGCGGTGCTTGGGGAGTCGGTGCCCTTCGCGCATAAGACCTGCGGGCGCTTGATCGATAACTGCCGACCTCTGACGGCGGGCTGCTTGGCGGGGGAAACCAACAACTCCGACGGAGCGAGGCAAGGGCATGGTGGGATCGTCTACCTGGTGATCGGTTGTAATCGATTTTCGCCTGGCCAGAGAGACGAGATCGGGGGCTTCGAGGAAGTTGTACTCCTCAATCACCTCGGGCACAAAGGTCTCGAGGTAGTTTCTATAGCCAAAAGTCTCTGGCACTGTTGGCTCACCGAGGTCCTGTGTCTCCTTGAATGAAGCAAGAGCTTGGTCTGGGAGTTGTTAGTCGAAATTTCTTTTTGGCAGATACGGGGGTATACATACGGTACTGATATAGCTTTTGTGCGATCTGGCTCAGAATTTCGTTTCTTCGCCAGGCAATGTCCCGCTGCTCATTCCTTTCTTTCCGACGAGGTCCCTGTGGGCCGCTTCCATACATCTTAAGGTGGGCATCCTGAGTGTCAAGCTCATCTAGCTGCGACTCCAGCTGCGTGAGCTCGTCCTGCAAGTGGAGCAACAAGCGGTGATGAAGTGACTCGAATCGTCGGTAAATCGGTGCGAGTTTTGGGCCTACAATGCTCCCAGACAGCTTAGCTGCCAGGAGTTCAAGCCCACTAAGTTGTCTCTCTGGTGCAGGCAACGCCGGGAGTGGTGGCAGGGCGGGAAGTTCAGCAGGAAACGGCGGAGGTCCTTGAGGAGGCGAAAAGAATCCTCCAGCTTCAGGGTGAAAAGGTATTTCTGGCGAGCCGAACCTGTTGAAGGAGTGGTTTGGTCCGGGTGGTGGTGGATAGTGGCCATCGAAATGCTCTTCCATTGGAGGTTCGTTGACCATAGAACCATTTACCATAGAACCGTTGACCATCGAACCATGAACGGGGCTACGACTGTCGAATCTCCTATCGTTCATTGGTCTCCCTTGGTAGGGACCCCCATAAGGCTGTGGTGGGACTATAAAACAAATGAATACTTTGAAACCGTCATGAGATGAGGAGATTTACTCACAGTGCCCCTGTTCTTCGGGATCGCCCACCATAAAGTCCATCGCATGTGGTCGCTGATGAGGACTGAAGCGTCGATTTGGGCTCAAGCGCCTGCGAGGGCTTCCTCGCCTAGGTCCCCTTCTCGGTCTCTCCCTGACATGAGGGGCTCCTGCTTCCTCATGAGGTGGCTGCTGTGAGCCCTGGTGCTCGATTTTCTCGCCCTCCTTTGGGATTTCCGGTTCTGTAGTTGCTGTTACTGTGCTTACTACAGCTTCGGATAATGGACTTGAGGGTGATGAAAGCCGGGAATCTATTGTATCTGAAGATTTTCTCTCCTCTGGAAGATGCTTTTGGGATATGGTGACTGATTTCCTCTTCTTCTGGACGGCCATGGGGGGAAGAGGTGATGTGGTGCGCTGAAGATCTGTCGGGTGCTCATGGTAATTGTCGACACTTGCTTGCCGAGCATGCCTTACACGTCGCTTGACGTTGGATTCACCTCCTGGACCATGAATAGGACCATAAAAGGGACCAGAACCAGGACCGGGACCGGGACCGAGGCCAGGCGCATCCATCCTCGGAGCGCCTCCCTCTCCATTGCCAACTCCTGTCTCGTGAGGAGCCATTTTTTGCTTTGCTTGAAACAGTTGAAGAAGTTGCAAAGTTGTTGCAGTGTGTGTGATGTTCGTCTTGGGGTCCTAGCGTGGGGTCTAACTTTGGGGGCCGGGTTAAAAGTCGATCTTGTGATGGCCACGGGGGAGGAGGGTGGTAGGGACGGAGGGAGGGAAGACGAAGACACGACACTGGACGGGGAATTCTACAATAAAGATTCTGTGCGCGCACATGTCAGTTCTCCGAATTTAAGAAGTAAACAATATCGAAAATTCATCTTGTCGGCCCAGAGTTTTAGGGGGAGAAGCCATTCATCTTACACGAGCTGGTTGTGGTGTGGGTATCTTCAACTGTGAGATCGTAAGTAAAAGGAAAATATGATATGTTATTAACCTGGGACGCCGGTTCGCAGCCACGTACGTACCTTTTATCACACACGTGCAAATTGCAGCGAGTAACAGAAGGGTATCGTCGGAAAGCAAAGGATTTTTTTTGCAAGTACAAAGGTAGTTAAGAACACACACTGCACTTAATCGCAGGAAAGCTGTTTTATTTTTTTTAGATTCGTGATTGTGGGATATCGTGGCGGAGACAAGAAGATGCAGCCATTATTTTGGTGCTGGAGGCAGTGACATTGATGGTTTTTTGCGAAAGCCGAGGATGGAGGATGGAGGAGGAGGATAAGGAAGAGAGAGAGAAGCAGTGGAGGGTTTGGTGATGCGACAAAGAAATGGGGAGGAAGAGAAGAGCAAGAAAGATGTCACATTCTTTGTTGGAAAGCTGGTACTTGGAGGAGAAGGAAAGACAAAAAAAACAATAAAAACAATAAAAATAAAAATATTGAATTGAAATGGGGGATGGATGGATGGAGGGTTGGATGGATGGATGTGCAGCCCTGATCATGGGTGTCGATATTCACGAGTGCGCGTCAGGCAAAGCCCCAGAGCGGCTCGGATTGGTCGCATGAATCGGGTGGTTTCGCAAAGTCGAGCACATGGTCTGAAGGATTCCCGGTCGTTGGACTTTGTTTGGTGGTTCTGGTCTGGATGGTCCCCAATATTGGTGCCCAACATGATGGATCCATGCAACGGTTGCAAGCCCACAGTGTGCATGTAACTCTACGAGCCTGGACCGACCACCTTTTTTGTTGTTTTTGTTGCTGTAGCACATTTATTTATATTATTGTGTGTGAAATATCGAGTCAGTCATGTAGTATTGCCATGATGTTATTATATTATTATTGGATAATTACAGGTATACACCTAGTAGTAACTGAATGGGTACTGATATACATATAGGTGCACACAGTCCTCTTGTGGTTTGTTCGTGGTTTGCTTCAATACACCAGACAGACACCAAGTTCGTTGCTGACGTTGCCAAGGTTACAGAGTACAGATTTAACTTTACCTTTTGAACTTGTCTCATCATTCATTCATTCATCCATCATCATTGTGGGACAACGGCAATGGCAACGGGAACCAAGGGAGCGTTTGGAGGGGGCTTTTGGTTTGCCGGGCTTTCTAGCGGGCCGTTGCATCCATAATCCATCCCATCCATTGGGATCCATTCGGTGCAGAATGAATACAGCAGAATGCAGAACGCAGAACGCATCTGCAGCTTGAAGCGGACTACCTACAGAATAAAATAGTTTGCTCCACCAAAGTGCTTAAGAGAAAAGGCTTCTTCCGTGTTAGCCGCAAAGGTCCTGATCCACTTGTTACTACTACTTGTAGCGCATGGATGTTGATGAGGCAAACAAACCGTGTTCATAACAACAAACATGCATTCTTGTACGAACATCCTGTCTGGTAATGGTAAACCTTCTTGGGGATCCTCTTGGTATAGATGTACGCATTTAGGGGGTACAGTACGGTAGGGAGGCCTCTTGAAGCCTTTGATACTTGATACGCCCATAAGTGAATATTTTGTAGACTATATTGAGACCAATTATATTTTATGAGTTTATTGAATTCAACTTCCATGGCATGAATGCTGATGCCGTCATCTATTTATTTGTGAGTATTTTGGTGTAGTGATACCAGTGGAGGGTACTGTGCGGTGTGCACCGAGTACTCCGCACCTGGAAACATCATTCGCTGTGACACTCCAATGGCTGCTGCCCCACCTCCACTGATGGATTGACAAAAGCTCCCCCGCCAAACCGCGTCCACCTCGTCAGTCACATCTTTAGTACTTGGTCATCAAATCACCACAACGCTATGAGTCGCACATCCATCACTGCGCTCAGCAGGTACCTCCTCCAAGGCCAATTGCCTAGAAATGGATGCATTGGACATCGTCGCTCTATAGTCCGCAGACTCCCCCTCTTGTCACCGATCCGGCTTCACCCCATCCGATGTCTTCAAAGCTCCTCCTCCGAGTCAGCCGCCGAGGCTTCCAAACGACCGATACCTCTACGAAAGCAATTGAAGGATGAGGCTAAACAAGCGAAAAAGCAGGGCAAGAAGAAATCCAAGAGTGAATCTCAGACGGTCGACGGATGGGAATTGACCGTGGGCATCGAAATACATGCCCAATTGAATACACCCCGCAAACTGTTTTCACCGGCCGCGACATCGTTCAATGATGAGCCAAACAGTCATGTCGCCTTCTTCGATGTCGCAATGCCTGGAAGCCAGCCGCTGTTCCAGAAAGAGACCCTGATTCCGG